ACCCGGCGAGAGGGTTGGCGGAGGATGACGGGATCATAGCGGGACTTCGGGACCTTCCGTGTAAATATATGTATTTTACACGTGACGTGTGTGTAAAATATATATTTATACGTATGCATACACACGCGCACGCACACACACACGCACACACGCACACACACACGCACACACACGCACACGCACGCACGCACACACTGACATGTATGACTGTGTATAAATATTGTCGTAAGAAACCATCATCTGCTGCGCAAAAGGATTGGGGCGGGGAGAGGGGGTGAAGGCGGATTTGCATGTTTCGCGGGTAAACGAGACAGACCCCGCCGGTAAACCGGTTCTCTTAAATGTACGTATGTAGATTGTAAAATATGCGTATGTGTATATGTTCTCTCTCTCTCTCTCTCTCTCTCTCTCTCGCGCGCGCGCGCGCGCGCGGGTGTTGCGCGCGAGTCAAGTGGACTCGGCGTGCGAGAGTGCGCCGTTACGTGTTATTAGATGAAAAAAAAAAAAAAAAAGAAAAAAACAGAAAAGGGAAAAGAAGTCGAACGAAATTGATCGACGAGATCACTGTTAATTATCGATGATAACGTCGCATGTTGCGGAGATTCGTCGCGGCCCTCGTCGCTTTGGCCAGTTTTAACGACTTCCGGCGCGCTCGCTCACTTCGGCGTATCGAGCCCCGCGGGTCTCGCGATCATTAGACGACGTGCGATCGAACAGGGACACGTACGTTGATTGTCGACCTCAACGCGATGGCACAGGACGAACGATCGAGTTCTTTCTCTCTCTCTCTCTCTCTCTCCCTCCCTCTCTTTTTGTTTCTGTCTCCTCACCTGCTCGCTTTCTCGTTCCTGCCGATTCGCACGCGATCGTTACACTCGTCACGGCGCGGCACTTGAGTCTTCAGCTTCGCATTCGCCGTGCAGTGCTGAAGATGTTGTCGACGGGGCAAATCGTGAAAAGAAAAAGGAAAAGAAACGAAAACGCGGCACCGACGCGACGCGACGCGACGCGCCCTTTCGCGTTAGAACAACGTGAAACAATGTATGAAGCACAAACAATGGTTAGACGCATGTTTCATGCCGAACGTAAGTACCGTGTATGTAACATGCAGCATATATGTTATGCGTAATGTGTATTACGCGTAATATATATGTACATATATGTGTATGTATATCTGTTTGATATATGTATATATATATATATGTATATGTTCAATCACATTTCATCATTAAACGAGTGACTTTCTTTCACATCGTGTTCAGCGCAAGACGGAAAGCACGAACGCGCGTCCGCGTGTCTCTCTCTCTCTCTCTCTCTCTCTCTCTCTCTCTCTCTCTCTCCCTCTTCCTCTTTCCCACAGTTGATAGTTTTTACTTTCTACAGTAACAATGCCCTTTAAGATTTAATTCCGCGAATAAATTTGTACTCTGCGAAGAATTCCTTCGTTTTATACGTTTCTTTTATTTTTCTCTTATTTATGTCTCTTTCTCTCCGCGCGCGCGCGCGCGCTCGGCACGACTCACGCGCAATGGCAGATGCTTCCTCTTTCCTCTGTAATAATAGAGAGCTTCAAGGCAAGAAGTGGTTTCTTTGTACCGATTAGACCTGGATTTGCCTCTCGATCTCGATGCTGTTCCTACACTTTCCCTTTCTGTCTCTGTCTCTCTCCCCCGTTTCTCTTTCTCTGTCTCCTTCTTTCTTCTCATCCCTCGAGCGGAATCGCTGCGCGCTTCGATCTCCGTCCAGAGATGCTGCTCCCGCGGCTTGATATACCGCGAATCGCGGACGCGCCCGAGAGGCGGGCGCGACAGAAAAAGGGGATTACCACGGCCAACAACAATGTCCGTAGTAAAAAATCGCAGACGAAGCCCGATGGATGTCGAACAGCATGGTGCGAGCAATAAATACGCGCCTACCCGCGCGCGATTTGATCGCGCACCCGTTTTTTTTTGTCCATTCTTTTTTTCGAGATTTCCGCGTATACGTCGTATACAAGTGTCACAATCGTATACACAGTTGCAATCGTATACAATGTTTTTTTTTTAGTTGAAACATCCCGATGATGCAGCGCATCGAACGCGCAGTCAGTGCGAAATCCGCTTCACTCGCGTTTCACCAATTAAATAATCGTCCAATTGTACGAATTGTCGAGACTTACTCCGCTAGCCGGGAAAAAAGCTTAAAAGTTCAAGTTCAAAAGTTGCGTTATCGAGTTATTTAAAAGCGTGACGTATTTTCTTGTTGATCCGACCTCACACACGTCGCGCGACCTCGTTTTCCTCCCTCCCCAAATATCTCTTAACTTTTAAAATCGTCGTATAATAATTTCGATATTATCGATATTCATAATTTCTGCGCGAGTAAGAAATGCCTTGTTGCCTTTCTACGGCCGTCGTATGTACGTTTCTGGTGACGTCGTCACTTCGTCCTCGGACTCGGTGCCGTCGGCCTGTGCTTGCACTTTTCTTGACACTCGTTCGATTGTTGTCCATCGACGCTATGCTTTATGCTCCGACTCTTCAGCCGGTCCATTGTCCACTGGCTCTCCGAATTTTCTCACATAATAATGCCGCTTTGATTCAAGCGTCACTCGCGTTCGCGTCCTTTCGTGATCCTTCACTTCCGGACACGCTTTTCTAGCTTATGATCGACGAGGCTTGTCTTCTCCTCTAATTTAGCATTGTTTTACGGACGTATCTCGTTTGCGTTACTCGCCTGAGGATCCCTCTCGCAAAACAATCGCTGGACGCGTGTTCGCGTAAACCTTTTCGATAATACCCTTAAGAATTAAGTCCGTTATTACACTCCGAGAGGATTGCATACGACCTACGAGCTACAATTATGCTATAAACTCAAGAATTTCTAATTAATCTAGTTATATTGACACACGCGCTCCTTCGCACGCACATACACATTAGAAACGGAAACGAAAACAAAAAGAAAAAAGAAACCTTCACTCTCTCTCAATTAACAATCCGCGTTACGCTGCTATGTATTGCTGCTACGTGTAATTTGCTCCTTTATTCTCTTTCCCTCCCTCTCTCCCTCCCCCCTCTCTCTCTCCCTCCCTCCCTCCCTCTCTCTCTCTTTCTCTCTCTCTCTCTCTCTCTCTCCCCCCTCCCTCCCTTATACATACACTTATATACCTATTATTATCATATACGTATTCATCCATAAGTATGTCATCCGTGTAACTATCTCGTATCATGTATATTAGTAGGAACCATTTTACAACTATGCCGAATAACGTATCGCGCGCGAATTCGCTCCTTCGATTGTTAATCCTGCCCGTTGAAAGAGCAAGCAGTAAATTCTCCCTAGGAACCCCCGATGTTCAAAGACATCGCGCGCACGAGCGAAGAAGTATATCTTTTCGTCGCTCGAAAGCGCTGAAGGAGGAGGAGGAGGGGGAGGAGGAGGAGGAACCGCGAGCACTCTGAACGCACGTGTAGACGTCTGCTCGTCGCGAGATTGCGAAATACGTTTGACCCCCCTCGTCCGCGGGGGGTCACACAATCGATTTCAGTCGACCTCTACGCGTCTGTCTCTCTCCTCCCTCCCTCTCTCTCACTCACTCTCTCTCTCTCTCTCTCTCCCCCCCTCCCTCTCTCCCTCCCTCTCTCGCGCAGCTGCGAGTCCGCAAAGTTGAAGGAGCAAAGGGCCGAGTTTGCTCCTGACAACCGTCGCGTCTCTTCTTCCGGTGTCAATGGGAGCGACCCGAACGCTAAGCTTAAGTACTACGTCATGGCAAGCCCTAAGTTACGTCTCCGTGACTCCGGAGACGGCTGATTGGTGTCTCGGAGGAGAAACGGAAGAAGAAAAGAAAATAAAAAAAGAAAACGGAAGAAAAGGAAAAGACGGAACAGAGGCCGTGGAAAAATCGAAATGCCATTCGTTCGGCGAATCGCCGCGGCTAACCTTCCCCCCGCTTCCTTCGTCGCTGTTCTCTCTTCAGCCGCGGAGGAAACGAGAGATGAGGTAACAGATCGCCGTTCGCGATCGGTGCGGGTGCTGAACCGCGTGTGTGTTGTCTGGGCAAGTGTATGACCTCTCTCTCTCTCTCTCTCTTTCTCTCTCTCTCTCTCTCTCTCTCTCTCTCTCTCTCTCTCTCTCTCACCGCGGTGTACGTGTTTGTACACTCGTGTGCGCTCGTGTTTCGTGTAGGTACGGCATGACGCTAGAGATAGGATCAAGTTGAAGATGCACTCATACTCGCGATCGGATGCGCCTTCCGGTGAGGCTCAGGAATCTCGGCGCACTCGCAACTCCGTTGTGTGGACGCGCAGCTACTACGACCGAGCTGATGCTGTATAAGCCGAATACACATTGCAGACATATCGTACTTTATTAATTAAAATTAAAATATTGCACGATTATTTTTGCAGCGTTTACTGGCGTTTCAGACATACTAAGCGTATGTCCGCTGTGAACGGGCGAAAGAACTAAAAGTAATAAAAAATAAATAGACTCTCTTTAAAAGTATAAATAAAAATTCTTTAAATGGCAGATAAAAGTATATTTCGTCGTCTTCCAGTCGTTTTTTTTTTTTGATTTCGTCATTTAGCGCTACGATTCGATGATATTATGACACCGCCCGTGGCCTATACGATTAAATTTAAAAAGTTCACGCGCTTGCTTTTTTAACGTATATATTAAATACTATTACTCGTATGTCTCCCGCTGTCTCTTATCCGATTAAAATTTAGACTCGTCTCGGTTAGACTTATCTATATAAGGATTTAGAATTGTCATCGTCAACGTTACTAGAAAATACACACTTGATCCCATCTCTAGAACATAATGCTAACGCGCATTTGTGTGTACCCTACATATACATGCGCTCGCAAGTGTGTGTTGTGTGTGTGTGTGTGTGTGTGTGTGTCCTATATTTGGCCCTATGTGCATATACTAAACTCTATAAATCTAAGCAATGCATATCCTCAACATTTATATATATATATATTTTTTTTATATATAATAATATAATAATAAAATATAATATAGTGAATATAGTATTAATAAAATCATGAACGATGCCTATATCATGCAACTCGTCGTTTGTCAGCCGCTTAAACTTTCCGTAAATAAAAGAAAAAGTAAAGATCGTTATCGATCGATCGACGTCGTCGCTTACGCGATCTCTGTAATATAAGCTGCATTGCACGGTAGACGGTTCAATGCTCCGAAATGAATAGTCTGCGATCCAGCGGCGTACTTCGTTTTCTACTTCCTTTCTCTACTTCGTTTTCTGAGATTCATATTGACCTGCTCTATCACTTATCGTGTGTACTGAGGTAGATGGATGGAATCTTTTTGTGACGTGTACATGTGTCATTACCTGACATGTGTCCGACTGGATGTATATGTATGTATATATGTATGTGTGTGTATATATATATATATATATGTGTGTGTGTGTGTGTGTCCTGTACATATATGTAGGATCTCCTGCAAGGGATGATGAGACAAGAAGCAAAAGAATGATATAATCGTGTGTCCGCGCTGACACGCGGACGCCATGTGTGGAAGCTCCTTGTTCTCGCAATCCAAGTCAGCTTGTTCTTTCTAACGAAGCCGACACGTCCCGTGGAAGTCACGGTGGGTGGGAGACACGGTGACAGTGATCCAAGAGAAAAAGCATCACTTCTCGATCACAGGAGACCCTGTAGTATACACAGGCGTATACACGGCTCGGATGTTCCTCAAGCCTGACGTGGCGTATGAGCTTACTCGAGAGTTACCATACTCTCGTAATCATCATCCGCGCTATCTATCGGGTTCGCGACATCACGAGATGTAGTAACTGAAATGTCGCTCGACCTCGCAAATGGATGGATTCCAGGCGCGCCGCGCGTTTCCTGTTCTTCAGCAACGAGCTCGCACGGCGCGCCGATGCTCGCATACGGCATCATATAGCGAGCAGCATCGGCTGCTCGACTCTCTTCCGCCGCGGGGTCCCACTCGGAACACTCTGGTGCCATCTATTTGGTCTTGATTACCATTTCCGCCTCGTCGTTGTCGCTGAACTCGTCCTCCTCCCCGCCCGACGACTCACCCTCAGCTAGCGCACTGTTCCTACCTTGCAGCAAATCCTGTCGGTCCTCGTGCACAACCCCGGATCCCCTACCTTCGTCCCGTCCGATCATCGGGTAGTCCTCCAACATGCGTTCGCCGAGCTTGTCCATGGCGGTCATCTGTGCCATCTTAGCAGCGTGGGCGGCTACAGCGGCCGCTGCTTGCTCTGGGCTGAGCGCCATGGACGCGATACCAGCAGAGTTCTCCGCGATGAACTGCAGGTATGTGTCCAAGATCGCAGAGCCAGTCGCGCTGGGGTTGTGGCCCGGGAAGCCGGGCGGGGGTAGCGGTGCCATGTTGGCCTCGCGATTACCGTGCATGGTGTCGAGACTCTTGGCGGCGATCGCCGTCGTCGTGGTGGTGTTCCTGCTGTTGCCGCTGCCGCTTACCTTAGTGATGACGGTGTTGTTGTTGGGTGTCGGCGAGCCGTACCTAAGATTGGGAGGTAGAGTGAGGTCCTCCGGGTCGTCCCCTCCGCAAACGCTGCTGCCGGCTTCGGAAGAAGCGCCCCCTCGAGGCAGCTCCAGTCTTATGTCGCCCCTTCGAGGCCCGGTTGGACTTGCCCGTGCTTTTAACTCGGCGGGGCTTACTCTAACTCCAGCCTTCGCCAGCAATCGGGAAGCCAGTTCGGGATCGAAGGGGCTAGGCATGGGCAAAACTGGTAGGTCCTTTGTGCTGATACCACGATGTTGTCTCGACATGTGAGAATGCAAAGAGTTCCTGGACTTGGCTACCGTTCCGCAGAGTACGCAACGGTAACCGGGACAGACAGTGTGCTTGTCCTCCAGATGTGTTCGCAACGTGTGTGCCGAACGATAGATTTTGCCGCATTTGGGACATGGCCGGGGGTCAGTGGCGCGCACTCGCATCAGTTCCAAACCTCGTCGTTGACACG